CTAAACTGCTGTAGCTGAGTGGTGGAGCTAAACTGCTGTAGCTGAATGGGTGGGGCTAAACTGCTGTAGACTGAGTGGGTGGGGCTAAAGTGCTATAGGCTGAATGGGTGGGGCTGAAGTGCTGTTGGCTGAGTGGGTGGGGCTAAACTGCTATAGGCTGAATGGGTGGGGCTAAACTGCTATATTGCATTCTTTACAATGGAGTTTCACATCAAACCACACCTTGTCTCCATGTCAACAACTCAATTAAGCAGAATTGTGAAAAATCAGAGGACTTCCCCTTTAAACATGATGAGAAACTAAGTGTTTATAAACTTCTGATGGACAGAGATATGAGCTGTATCTGCACTGTGCTTCATCTTATTAAACCACTCCCTGGAATAAAGCCGTACACTTAATAATAATAACAATAATAATAATAATAATAAGGAAAGCATGGCTTTTAATACTTACGAGTCATAGTTATCTCTAAAACCTTTTGCAAAAGGGTTGTGATCAATCTTCAGCTGGGTGATCTACACGCAGATAAAAACAAATAACACAGGAAATGAGCTGCAGTAATTATTATTATGCGCATATTTACAGCACTATTTGAAAGTCAAAGATCCTTCATTTGTTTCATTTTCAGTCAAATCATCCATTTACTGATCATTTCCAGGAGACGTTTGTGAGGAGATCATCTTAAATAGATAAAGGGGGCGCTGACTTTTGCACAGTCCTGTATATGACAGACTGAATTATTATCATATTCATATATGCCCGTAGTGGAGCAGATTATGAGGACTGTGGATTGTGAGCATGTTTATTATGTGGGTGTGTGTTTACGTCAGTGTTCTGGTACGCGGTCACTGCGATGAACTGGCTCTCTGGAAAGACGAAAATCTGAGAGTGAGGTTCTCTCCTCACGTCGTCGGCTCCCTCCGGCAGAACCTCCACGATGTGCAGCCTGGGCTGGTACTTATGCAGAGACTGAAGAACGATCATCTGTTTCAGACAGAGAGGAACAGCACTTAATCAATAATTCATAACACTTAATCAATAATTCATAACACAATCAATATTTCATAACACTTAATCAATAACTCATAACACTCAATCAATAATTCATAACACCTAATCAATAACTCATAACACTCAATCAATAATTCATAACACTTAATCAATAACTCATAACACTTAATCAATAATTCATAACACTTAATCAATAATTCATAACACTTAATCAATAACTCATAACACTTAATCAATAATTCATAACACTCAATCAATAATTCCTAACACTTAATCAATAACTCATAACACTTAATCAATAACTCATAACACTTAATCATTTATAACACTTAATCAATAACTCATAACACTCAATCAATAACTCATAACACTTAATCAATAACTCGTAACACCTAATCATTAATTCATAAAACTTAATCAATAATTCGTAACACTTACTGAATAATTCATAGTAGATATTAAATAATTCATAGTGGATTCTGAATAATTTACAGTAGATACTAAATAATTTGTAGTGGACACTGAATAATTCATAGTGGATACTGAATAATTCAGAGTAGATACTGAATAATTCATAGTAGATACTGAATAATTCATAGTAGATACTGAATAATTCAGAGTAGATACTGAATAATTTGTAGTGGACACTGAATTATTGATAGTGGATACTGAATAATTCAGAGTAGATACTGAATTATTGATAGTGGATACTGAATAATTCATAGTGGACACTGAATAATTGATAGTGAATACTGAATAATTCATAGTGGATACTGAATAATTCATAGTGGATACTGAATAATTTGTAGTGGACACTGAATAATTGATAGTGAATACTGAATAATTCAGAGTAGATACTGAATAATTTGTAGTGGACACTGAATAATTGATAGTGAATACTGAATAATTCATAGTAGATACTGAATAATTCAGAGTAGATACTGAATAATTTGTAGTGGACACTGAATTATTGATAGTGGATACTGAATAATTCAGAGTAGATACTGAATTATTGATAGTGGATACTGAATAATTCAGAGTAGATACTGAATAATTCATAGTAGATACTGAATAATTTGTAGTGGACACTGAATAATTCATAGTGGATACTGAATAATTCAGAGTAGATACTGAATAATTGATAGTGGATACTAAATAATTGATAGTGGATACTGAATAATTCACATCGGATACTGAATAATTCATAGCAGATACTGAATAATTGATAGTGGATACTGAATAATTCATAGCAAATACTGAATAATTCATAGTAGATACTGAATAATTCATAGTAGATACTGAATAATTCAGAGTAGATACTGAATAATTCATAGTAGATACTGAATAATTCAGAGTAGATACTGAATAATTGATAGTGGATACTGAATAATCCATAGTAGATACTGAATAATTGATAGTGGATACTGAATAATCCATAGTAGATACTGAATAATCCATAGTGGATACTGAATAATTCATAGTGGATACTGAATAATTCATAGTGGATACTGAATAATCCATAGTAGATACTGAATAATTCATAGTAGATACTGAATAATTTGTAGTGGACACTGAATAATTCATAGTGGATACTGAATAATTGATAGTGGATACTGAATAATTCACATCGGATACTGAATAATTCATAGCAGATACTGAATAATTGATAGTGGATACTGAATAATTCATAGCAAATACTGAATAATTCATAGTGGATACTGAATAATTCATAGTAGATACTGAATAATTTGTAGTGGACACTGAATAATTCATAGTGGATACTAAATAATTGATAGTGGATACTGAATAATTCACATCGGATACTGAATAATTCATAGCAGATACTGAATAATTGATAGTGGATACTGAATAATTCATAGCAAATACTGAATAATTCATAGTGGATACTGAATAATTCATAGTAGATACTGAATAATTCAGAGTAGATACTGAATAATTCATAGTAGATACTGAATAATTCAGAGTAGATACTGAATAATTGATAGTGGATACTGAATAATCCATAGTAGATACTGAATAATCCATAGTGGATACTGAATAATCCATAGTAGATACTGAATAATCCATAGTGGATACTGAATAATCCATAGTAGATACTGAATAATTCATAGTAGATACTGAATCAGGTCAGCAGTGATGGTTACCTGACCGTTACTGGCCGTTGCTCCTTTGTTGTTGGTCAGTTTTAATTTGCCGAATGAAATTTCCTGCCTCATCCAGTGAGCTCCTGTGTTTGGAGACTCCGGATGGATGTAGACTTTATTCCCTAAAACATGTTCATAAACAATATTTGATATCAGTACTTCATCAAATATTCATTTAATATTCATTTAATACTAATAACGATAATAATGATAAAAATGATAATAATGATAATTATGATAATTATGATACCAGCACCGTCATCATCATCATCATCAACAACAACAACGACAAATACAAAACTGCTAATGCTACTCAGAAGGTGTAATAATTATGGTTTTGTTAATAAATCATTAATAAGAATCTATGTAAATTACAGTTAGTTAATGAATATAAAGTATATAATAGTGTTATTAAACCTCGAGAAGAGAAAATGAAATACTTTTCTGAAAATCCTTCATAAATAAATGTTATCTAAGTTCTACAGAAGTCAGGAGTTCAGGTCTATAAGTACTGTAATATTGATCATTGGTTATTGATTATTAATAATACCCTGCATGTTGTTGTCGGCTTTTCCGCAGGTCACCCACTTTCCCCCCTGGAACCTCCAGTGATTCGGATCCGCCAGAACGATCTCAACGTACACGTTATAGTGAGCCGACAGACTCAGACCCGCTATACTGAAACTGAGGAACGGGAACATCCGCCTACAGAGAACACGGAGAAAACACACAGAGGGGGAACACACACAGAACATAGAGAACACAGACAGAGAGAGAACACACACAGAACACAGAGAACACACAGAGAGAGAGAACACACACAGAACACAGAGAACACACACAGAACACAGAGAACACAAACAGAACACAGAGAACACACAGAGAGAACACACACAGAACACAGAGAACACACACAGAACACAGAGAACACACAGAGAACACACACAGAACACAGAGAACACACACAGAACAGAGAACACAAACAGAACACAGAGAACACACAGAGAGAACACACACAGAACACAGAGAACACACACAGAACACAGAGAACACACAGAGAACACACACAGAACACAGAGAACACACACAGAACACAGAGAACACACAGAGAGAACACACACAGAACACAGAGAACACACAGAGAACACACACAGAACACAGAGAACACACACAGAACACAGAGAGAACCCAGAGAGAACACAGAGAACACAGAGAGCACACACACAGAACACAGAGAACACAGAGAGAACACAGAAATCACAGAAAGCACACACACAACACAGAGAACCCAGAGAGAACCCAGAGAGAACCCAAAGCAAGTGAGAAGAAAAGTGAAAATAAAGGACGAGACAGAAAGAACAGAGAATATTAATATCAGAAAATCAATCAACCGATCAAACAATCAATCCACCGATCCATCAGTCATCCGAGTGTATTGATCACTCCACCACTCTATTAGTCTATTATACCAACCTATCCCACAGTCTATTGATTAATCTTCCAATCTATAAATCAACCTGCCAGTTATCTACTATTAATCAATTCACCAATTCATAGATCAGTCTACCAATCAATCAACCTACCAATCTATCAATCAGTCTTCCAGTCTATTGATCGATCTATCGGTGTATTGATTAGACTGGAGTGAGAGTGAGAGCGATGGCAGACTGAAGGAGTCAGCAGTGTAATTGACAGTGAGGGAAGCTGCGCCCTCTGCTGGCCGCCTGCGGAATCACTGAAATCTCCGTTCATACATATATATATATATTATATATATATATACGTTCACTCAGTGGGTGTGTTTACACTGTTGTGTATGATTGTGATCAGCGGTGATTATCACTTCTGTTCTGATCCCATTTAATTTTTCATTTTAGATCACATTTTCTGAAATGAACTAAAACTAATCTGGGCTTTCAGTACAAACAGCTGAACCAGAACCAGTCCAGAATCTTCACTCTCTGCGTTTTACACGCAGCTTTTCTCTCTGAGCTCCACTAATAATGTCTGAGAGGTTTATTTACCAAACAGCCATAATTCACTCTCACAGCTGAACAGGCTGACTCTGTTACTCCACCTCCAAAACTGATATATGTAAATGAGTGGGCGGAGCCCAGGCCTCTGTGGACCGAATGGGCGGATGTTAATCTGTAACAGTAATACATTAATTATAATAACAGTAATAAGTGTTTTTGAGTCATTATATAAGCAGTGAACTGAACAGAGGCTGGTTTTGCTCAAGATGAACAGAACAACTACAAACTACAGCATCATTTACAAACTACACTCGCAAAAACTCGGTTCTTCAAGGGTTCTTCAGTAAGAAAAATGGTCATATGCAGAACCATGAACACTCAAAGAACCCTTTGCATGATTAAATGGTTCTTTACATGGTGAAAGTGTTCTTCAGTTTGATGGGGAACGTACTGTAGATGGTTCTTATATGGAACCTTTTTGTTAAGCGTTCTATATGGCACCAAAAATGGTTCTTCAATCATAACAAGCTTTTTATTGTAACAATAGAGGAACCCTTTTTGGTGCTATACAGAACCAAATTCAAGAACCGTCTACAGCACATGCACCATCAGACTAAGGAACCCTTTCATGATGCAAAGAACCCTTTAATCATGTTCATGGTTCTATATGTATGTTCTTTATAATAATAATGGTAATAATAATAATAATGATAATGATATAATAATAATAATAATAATAATAATAATAATAATAATAATAATGATGATGATGATAATAATATAGTAATAATAATAATAATAATAATAATAATAATAATAATAATAATAATGATAGTCTTACCTGCCCTGTTTGGTGATGATCATCTCGGTCTGGTGTCTGTGGAACTTCAGCCATAGCGCTCTGTTACAGAGGTAGACCTGCGCGCGGCCCCTGGGGGTCCCGGGCCCCTCGTACTGCGGGTACACGCCGCTGAGCTGGAGCCGGACGGAGGGGGGAAAGGTGGGGGCGGGGCCGGACAGCGCGGGAAGGGCGGGGCTGTAGTGGACGGAGGGCGCCACGTACCGTGACCCCTCTGACCCCTCGGCCCCCTCGGCTCCCCCGCTGACCACCCCGCTCCCCCCGCTGTAGGGCAGGAAGGAGCGCAGGCCGTCCGGTGGCGGGGCGCAGGGAGCAGCGAGGAAGTGTCCCGCACTGAGTCCGTCTGCGCTGTAGGGGGCGCCGCCGCCCAGCTCACCCTCACACCTGAGCGGAGACGACTTCCTCTGAGCGGCCAGCAGGGCGGCGCTGTCAGCCTCACCGGCCATCATGGGGGCAAATACTGACTCGCTTAGGGGGGCGCTTCCGGTCTGCTTCACTCAGGACCACTGCAGGGGTATGACACGTGCTCAGCAGCCAATCACCTCACAGCATCACTGCAGGAGGGAAAAAGATCAATTAATAATCGATATCAATAAACTGGAGCATTAAAGCTGAATTAAACAGCACAGTGCACTGACAGCAGGGGGCGGGGCTTTATAGACCATTACAATCGTCTTAGAAACAGGGGGCGGGGCTTCATTAATTATTACAATCCGTTTGGAAACGGGGCGAAGCTTTATAGATTATTACAGTCAGTTTAAAAACGGGGGCGTGGTTTTGCGGATTATTACAATTTGTTTGGAAACAAGGGGCGTGGCCTCCTGATTGAGTGAAATCTGAGTGAAGCTGGTTTAGTTTTGACTGATAAACAGAGAAAATTCAACAAACAAATCTGTCAGTCATTTTAACTCATTAGTATTCTGAGTTTTATTGTTAAATTTATTCAGTGTTATTATTATTATAATTATTCAGATTCTGGATATTGTTGTAGCCTCATTGTTCGTGTTGTTGTTTTAATGTTTTTATTATTATTATTATTATTATTATTATTATTATTATTATCAGTATTTAATGTGTAATAGCAGATTATATTTTTCCTTTATTAAGCAAAAATTACAAATGTTTTTTTTTCAGTTTTACTGAAAATAAAGGAATATAACGAATAAATAAATAAATAAAAACAAGAACAACAATAATTATAATAATGTTTTTTTCTGACTAAATAATTTGTCATTTTTATTTCCTTTAATTTAAAACAGCAAATAATGTTTTTCTCTTCGTTAAACAGAAATAAATAAACAGAATTAATTCTCTTTTACCGAATCTGTTCAAAAATAAACACGAAATCGACCAAACAACAACAGCGATGATAATAATACCGATAATATTAATAATAATATTCGAATGATTTGAATTGCGTGAATTTAATAAAATAAAATTAAGTGAAAATAGAAGAGAAATTTGGGCTGGAGCGGCGCGAGCGCACACACACACACACACACACACACACACACTGTGTAGCGCGGAGCGGCGCGCGCGGAGAGCTCGAGTTGATTCAACACGGAGATTTAACGAATTAAAATGAGGAAAGCGTGCGAAGAGCAGCGCGCGCCCAGAGGAGCTTCAGCGCGTGGGTCAGTCTGACATCACACTCACAGATCAATCACACTGATTCAGCTCCGCTCTTACGTCACACATTAATCATCAATATTCATCATCAGCGCCGAATCAGATCGATAACGCAGAGGCGGCCAGCAGCGCGCGGCCTCAGGCACCATCACTAATTTACTGAATAAACACACACACACACACACACACACAGATACACACACACACACACACACACGATCAATAAATCAATAAATCAATAAACGTTATCAGTAAAGAGCGGAAACGTGCGGGGTTTCGAATGAGGCGCGCGCGTAAATTACAGTAAATCTTTATGAACTGTGAGTAGAAAAGTGTAAATTTTGTAAAGAACTAAATTTTAAATTAAATTAAAATTAAAATTTCATTTTGAATAATTTCAGAATTTTTCTAAAATTACAATTTGAATCTAAACTGTTCAGATTAAATCAAAACTTATAAACAATAATAACAGCTGAGTTACTGAATAATTAATCAGAGCGCGCGAGCCTTCTGCTCTAATATTCCCCTCATTAATGCCGCATTTCTGCATATTCATATTTGGCCGTTTATCTCTAATTACAGTATTAATATTCATAACGGTTCAGAGCAGTGCGCGCGACGCTCCTACACAGGTCTGATCCATATGATCAGCATCACTGATGTATTGATTTATTTGTTTATTTAGCCGTTACTTTACCACAGAAAGCCTCATCGATTACTGATCAGGTCCGTCATCATCATCATCATCATCTTCATTAGTCATATGCAAATTTGTACATTAACATTTCACACGCTTAAAAAACTTTTACAAAAATGAATTAGATTCATGAGAATTAAGGTTCCTCACTGGTTCTTGGCTCTATAGTTCCAGGATGAACCTTTAGCTGATATAGAACCATTAAACTGAAGGTTCTTTAGACTTTAGAATAGGTTCTTCACTAATTCACAACATAAGGGTCTTTAAAGAAGCACCACACTGAAATGTTCTTTAAGGAACCAAACGTGGTTCTTCTGCAGCTTAAAAAAATACGTTCTCAAACGGTTCTTTAGTAAAGGCAACAGTTCTGTACAGAACCATGACAGTAACCGTTTGACACTTAAATGGTTCTCGGCACAGTTAAATGAAGGAGAAGCTGTTGAATATGGCTCTTTGAAGAACCCAAAATATTCATTACTAAAAAGGTAAAATGGTTCTTAATAGCACAGAAAAGGGTTCCACTACAACTCACAAAACCTTTTTGTGGTACTATTCGGAACCCATTTTACTAAGAGTTTACAGCATTGCTTCAGAGAACCTTTCTAGAACCTCTGTATTTTTAAGAGTGCAGAAACTCACACATTCACATGCAGCATGTACACATCACAGCCAGCGGAGTTCCTGTTCCTCAGTGTTCCGGTTCCGCAGGGTTCCGGTTCCCCAGTGTTGCTGAGTGAGAGTCTGTGTCAGTGCAGGTGTGAACAGGTGAGTCTTACCTGAGAGCTCTTCATCAGCCCTGATCTGCTGTGTGAGTCCATCCTCAGCTCAGAGCTCTGAGTGAGAGAGCAGCAGTACAGCCCACAGAGAGAGGGGGCGGAGCCACACGCACAAACCACATCCACTCACTGCATCACACTGATACAGCATCAGGAGCACAGACCAAATACACCAGATCAAACACACTTATAAACAGATCACTCAGCACTCAACGGTTATAACACACTTATAAACAGATAAATCAGCACGGAACGGTTATAACACACTTATAAACAGATAACTCGCACTCATAAACAGATATAACACAATAATGAACAGCTAAAGCACACAAATGAACAGCTAAATCACACTTATAATCAGATATAACACCCTAATAAACAGCTAAATCACACTCATAAACAGATATAACACTAATGAACAGCTAAATCACACTCATAAACAGATATAATACACAAATGAACAGCTACATCACACAAATGAACAGCTAAATCACACTCAAACAGATATAACACTAATGAACAGCTAAATCACACTCATAAACAGATATAATACACAAATGAACAGATAAATCACACTCAAACAGATATAACACTAATGAACAGATAAATCACACTTATAAACAGGTATAACACACTAATAAACAGCTAAATCACACTTATAATCAGATATAGCACACTAATAAACAGCTAAATCACACTCATAAACAGATATAACACTAATGAACAGCTAAATCACACTTATAATCAGATATAGCACACTAATAAACAGCTAAATCACACTCATAAACAGATATAACACACTAATGAACAGATAAATCACACAAATGAACAGCTAAATCACACTCAAGCAGATATAACACACTAATGAACAGATAAATCACACTTATAAACAGGTATAACACACTAATGAACAGATAAATCACACTCAAACAGATATAATACACTAATGAACAGCTCAATCACACTAATGAACAGCTGAATCACACTAATGAACAGCTGAATCACAGTCATAAACAGATATTCAGGTTTTCAAATGCTAATATTTTTACTTCTGCTCAAGTACATTAATTATGTTTAGTCGTGCAACAGTTTAAAATGTAGACTTTCAGCTTTAATCTTATCACTTAACTTAATATTAAATACTTAAGACATTTTTAAGGCAAAAAGGTCACGTGTCACTCCACGGAAGTCCTGGTCACTCTGCTAAAGTCATGGTCACTCCACTGCTGTCCTTGTCACTCTGCTGAAGTCCTGGTTACCCCATAAAATCTTGGCCACACTAATCTGAAATCCTGGTTGCTCTGCTGAAGTTGTGGTCACTCCACTGTAGCTCTAGTCACTCTACTGAGTTCTGGTCACTCTGCTGAAATCCTGGTCACTCTGGTGAAGTCCTGGTCGCTCTGTTTGGACATCCAGCGCTCGTCTGAGTGTGAGAGTGTGAGCAGAACAGTGAGAGTGAAGGAGTGAAAGGAGCTCAGCTCCTGCAGGAGATTCAGGCTCTACACTCAGCTTTATCTGTGAGTCTCTCTGAGGAGTGGAAAACCTGCAGCGCTTCACACTCACACACTCTGCTTCAGACCGCACAGACCACACACTCACTCACACACACCATTCAACACAGCTCATTTTACTTATGGGACCTTTGTGTTTGTTTAATAATCAGGTGCAAAACAGGCCATTAAAAACAAACGTAGCTACATTGTTGTGACAGAAATGTGCAATTTATACATTTTAATTAACGAAATAGTCACCAAACAGAAAATTTGCACTTTTTTATGTGTATATCTTTTTCAGAATTATCTACATTAATTTACAGAAAACTCACCTTTTTATTTATAAATGTTTATTCATGAAGAACATACACATTTTTACAAAGAATGAAGAATGTATTCATAAATTTGTTCATAAAACACACAATTACTAAAATAGAACAAAACCACTTAATATTACAAAAACATGAACTTACTAAAATGTACTTTATTTATTCAGAATGTAGCAGCACACAAATGTCCAGTGTTTATTTGTTTACAGACGCTGTTAGCTGTGTGTAGCAGGAGGAGTGTTTGTGTGTGTGTGTGAGTGTGTGTGTGTGTGTGTGTGTGTTTGACCTTGGCCGTGCGGATGAAGGGAAGCGTCACCATATTGTTGTCAGAGCAGATAATCAGCAGAGCCGGTGAAGCGGAGACTCCGTCCAGGTTCTGTGGAGCCAAAGCTGCGCCGCCCGCTGACCGCATTAATGACCGCGTCTCATTAACGCTGTGCTGAAAACACAGGAGCACACGGCCAAGAGTCAGAGCTCACTCACACAGCGCAGACACGCCCACGCTCATTTACATACGCACATTTATTTACATTTACATACACATTATACACACTAAACACTACACTCTACACACTAAACACTAAACACTACACACTAAACACTACACACTAAACACTACACACTACACACTAAACACTACACACTACACACTAAACACTAAACACTACACACTACACACTAAACACTAAACACTACACACTACATTCTACACACTAAACACTAAACACTAAATACTACACACTAAACACTAAACACTACACTCTACACACTAAACACTAAACACTACACACTAAACACTACACACTAAACACTACACACTACACACTAAACACTAAACAATACACACTAAACACTAAACACTAAACACTACACACTAAACAATACACACTAAACACTAAACACTACACACTACACTCTACACACTAAACACTACACACTAAACACTAAACACTACACTCTACACACTAAACACTACACACTAAACACTACACACTACACACTACACACTAAACACTACACACTACACTCTACACACTAAACACTAAATACTACACACTAAACACTAAACACTACACACTACACACTACACACTAAACAATACACACTACACACTAAACACTACACACTACACACTAAACACTACACTCTACACACTAAACACTACACACTGAACACTACACACTAAACACTACACAATACACACTAAACACTAAACACTACACTCTAAACACTACACTTTATACACTACACACTAAACACTAAACACTAAACACTACACACTACACACTAAACACTAAACACTACACACTAAACACTAAATACTACATACTACACACTAAACACTACACTCTAAACACTACACAATACACAATACACACTAAAGACTACACTCTAAACACTACACATTACACACTAAACACTACACACTAAATACTACACGATACACAATAAACACTAAACACTAAACACTAAACACTACACACTACACACTAAATACTACACACTAAAGACTAAACATTAAACCTTATACAGTACAGGTGAATAATATAATATATAATCTTAATTTTTATTCAGCCGCTCACACATCAGTGAGAATTACATACTCATTATTACTATAACCAGTCATATCAACAATAATCAGTAACAATAATAATAACCACCATCATCAGTGGAACAGCAGAAGATGATTAAAGGTTCTCGTGTGATTTGTATTGATGTGAAATGTTGATTGTTCTTTTATGTAATTTGACTTCATTCTTTCATCAGTTTAAACGGACATTTACTGCATTGTACTGCATTTAGACGCACAGTGTGGACAGCGTCACAGGGGGAGGTGAGGGTGGGGTTAGCCGTCTAGCCCAGGGACTCCTATTAGTGTAGTGGTGTGCACGCCCACACAGGGACTTTTATAACACTTTTTAATATTTCAATTTTTAACTTTTTTGAATAGCTGTTTTTTATTATATTTTAAATATTTCAGTTTCACGAGGATGAGCTGATAAACATTTTTAAATTTTATACTTTATAAATTGTAATGTTTCTGACAGCTAACTTATAAAAATGACTCAATTACAGCAATTATAGTAATTACTCACTTACAAAAAATATTATTCACATATTATATCCTAATATTATACACACAGGTCAATATTCATTTTTAATATATTTAAATTATTTGCATTTTTTAACAGAATTTTTGTTTGAACTTTTTTTTTATTTATTTAAATAAGGGCAGTTAGGTTGTTTTTCACCATAAATGTATTAGGTTTGAACTGATAAACCTTTTTTCAATTTTAAAATAATGTTGTAATATTTTGAATTGAGCATCTAAAAATTCAAATTACATAACAACTAAATTGCACTTAATATCATATTACTTTATTATAAAAACTACAATTTACAGATGATGGATAATGCATTACACACACACACACACACACACACACACACACAC